AGTCAGAGCGCACCTTCAACGCTGTCCACTGCTTTAGTATATACTAATGACCTTTTACTTGTCGAAACCTTGTCGAAAACCATTGCATTAATTCTTGACATGGTTTCATCGTTTCAGAAGTTTCAAGTGAGAATGACTGTGACGAACAAGCGAAGGAAACAAGATGCACTTGCGGTAAAAACAAGAAAAATAAGTCAGTTTCAGATATTTTCTGTGTTTCTGGTAAATGCCCATGCCACAAAGTGAACCACTCTTGTACCCGCTCGTGTAGATGTTACAATTGCAAAAATACGTGCAATTCCAATGAAGTTGTGAAGGTAAAAAAGAGTCTGAAGAGAGGCTGTAGTTGCGGAGTTGGACAAAAGAGCAAAGGGGACGGAGCACCAAATGCAAGTCACAAGTCGTGTCAAGACAGTCTCCGCAAGTCGAAGTGTCCGTGTGTAGCGGGTTGCATAGGATGCACCGAAGTCTGCAGATGCTTTAATTGTGGAAACATTGTTCAAGCTCGAGCTGACCCGGAAAATCCCAAAACGAAAAAGAAGCGAAATAGGGCGACCGTCTCTCCATATAAGAGGAAAAAGGGATCAAAGTTCATGATAAGTCAAAATGCAGAGGTGGATTGTGGACCATGGAGAAACATTGAAACGCTTTGTTTGATGGTTTGCCGGGACGTGATGCTAAGTCAAGGACTTTCCATAAATTCAAAAAATTTGCGTGATTTGTATGATTTCGTGGCTAAGTCTCCTGCTGTTATGGACATGTCTTTAAACATAGCTGCGAAGTCTACAGCACAGATTGCGGCTAAAATAGCGCACCTAAGAGGCATTGATTTGTAAAATACACATAAGATAGGGCTATCCTGTCCAGTGAAATTTTTGAAGGCTTCACTTCTGCTACCTTTTAATTCCGCTCTTAATGATAAAAGAATGTTCTTCAAAAAGTTCAAAAAGTTACCCGTTAGATCTCATGTCCAATCAGACTTTTGAGCTTTCTCGTTAATGGATGAAAAACGCGAGAAAAGATGACTGGTGATTCATGATTTCTAATTCACACTGTATTAGGCCACAGAGAAATTACTAAGTAAATACAGCTTTGTGTCAAAACTGAGTGATTACCTAGATTTTGTACGACTATTTTTGTTCTTTTGTATCTTGTTATTATAACAAAAGATTAAAGGTGTGCATTTCATGTTTATGTTGGAAAAGGTGTAACTAATCGTACGCGAACTCGTTCATATTGGATTGCTGCAGAATAAGTACAACTTGTTACATGTTTAACTGACCACAATAGTTTTTTTAATTACTCGTATACCAATGATAGTTCTGCATTCCCTCATGGACGGCATTCTCTCTTTCACTCTTTGTAAAAGTGTGTTATCAAAGAAATAAACACGTGATAAAGGAAATTTGTGAAATGAATTCGAAAGAACAGGTACGTAGTTTCACAAACTTTATTTCTCACGGCCGTAGTAGACTAAGCAACTCCTTTAATTTAAAAACACCAATCTGTGAAACGAGCCCCTTTCAGGCCTCCTACTTAAATGGCATTGTGAAACTTTGGAATTACTCTTGTTCTATTGCTCCTTCTTCTAGTTTTCCGAGTCCGCTCTCCTTCCAGCTTTTCGTCAAACAAACACTTTTTGACTGCCTGAGAACGTCCGTTGACATTTACTAGCCCTGCACGTAGACACTAGTTAGAACTTGCTCGTGCTACAAGCTAGAGGTGTAGTTAGTACTATGTTATAAACCAAATAAAGTTGTTAAAAAAGTTGTTAATTCAAATGGCAGGAATTGAAGCAAATGCATACATCAAGGTGAATATGATTAAATAAGCACTTATAAAAGAATATCAAGTCTTTCAGTTCTCTGTCGTAGGTAAGAGGGAGTAAGTCCAGGGTAATAAGTCTGTCTCTGCAAGACATCTCGCCAATCCGGGTTTGTAAGATCCATTTGGTAGCGCGCCGCTGCACTCGCTCGACTTGTGCCTTCAGGGAAACCTGAGCGGGCGACCAGACTTGAGTAGCGCAGCAGAGTTGTGACTTGACTAGCGATAAGTATGGCGCGCGCCGGGTAGACACGTCAGTTAGTAATGGACATGTCCGCTTTAGGAGCCCCAGGAGCCTGTTGTCTCTGGCGGTGATGGTGTATATATGAGAGTACCAAGACAACGTACCCGTAATTGTAACTCCTAGATCGTTTTCCGCGGACACTCGCACAAGTTGTGTGTTGTTTAGGATGTATTCGTAAATCAAGGGAGTTTTCATCCGCGTCACAGTAAGCGTTGTGCATTTCTAGGTGTTGAAGTTGATGTTATTTCCCTATGACCAGTCATTCACGTTTGCTCGGAGTGGTCTGCAGACAGATAATCGCTGACGGAGCTGACGTTTTTATGCAGCTTGGTGTCATCAGCGTATAACGCTGCCCTCATCCCAGCTACAGTTTCACCCGGGAGATCGTTAATAAAGATCGTCCAAAACTCCCCTTTGAGCTCGACCCTTTCG